GAGGAGGAGGATGAAGAGGGTGAGGGGGAGGAAGAAAAGGAAGGTGAGTAGGAGGGAGATAAGCATTCATTTAGGAGTATGAGACTTGGACATTGGGCGGGGTGAAAATATCAGCGAGGCGTGAAGCTTAGATACTATGAGTAAAAGTGAAAATTGATAAGCAGATGTTAAAGAGCAAAGCTCGGTAAAAATCCATAGATTTACACTACTGGACGCTGGACTAGACACAGTAGGCTACGCCCCTCTCTCTCCTTGCTGCGCGATGGCCACATTCGACTGCGGCGTCCACCACGTTCTTTTTGGCCAGCTGTCTGAAGATGTTCATGCCAAAGCAATGGGCTAGGCATGTTTTCTCTCTCATACGCAATAGACGAGGCTTGACCGTTGTTGATTTTTTTTTTTTACATGGGCTCCGTGGCGTACCTAAATATCTAGATTACTAGAAAGCAATAATGCAGCGTACTTTCTACAACTACATCTACAAATAAATGTATTATTCAACAGACAGAGATAGATACGCTTTAAAACAAACAAACAGAAATAACAACAAAACAACGTTATTTCTTCTTCAGCACTTTATCTACGAGACGGTTTATTTCTTATTGACTGAATCAATGCGTATATAGGGCCTATAGAACTTAAAAGAGGAAGTATGAAAACATCCTTACCCCCCCCCCCCTAATGGATTCCAATTCCAAGCCCCCACCCTCCAATTTATGAGTTTGGCATTATATTGAATCAAGCTTAGACATAGAAAACAGTTCAGAAGTTTTTATGCCATTAGGTGAGATGTAGGAAGGCAATGAAGCTCTTGATAAAACAAATTCTGCCAAACAAAAGATGAATACATGTAGGCCTACTAGTATTAAAAAAACAACAACGAGTTAAACTTTCCCCTGTGACATAATTTGTACAGGAAACTATATTTTTTTATACTTGTATTCACTAATTTTTTGGAATTATACCAAATAAGCAGTGTTTTCAATTTTGGTATTAAACTTTGGTTATATTGATTTTAAGAACTAAAGTAGACCATACAGCACTTAAACTTAACTCTTTGTATTGCTGTTTTAAGTCGATTTAAGTCTACTATCTATAGACAGCGAAAGATCTTGTCAGTTTGTTAGTGTTTGAACGCTTAATCAGCTGCTTGCACTGTATGCTTCCTGGGAAGCTGAGAATGTTTCGGAGTGTTCTATGGTCTGCTGGGGTAATAATATAGTGTAAAGCGCATAGAGCCTGCTGTTGAGCGGGGATATGCGCTATACAAATGCTATCTATTATTATTATTTTTATTCCTTTTGGACATTAGCCTAGTAAAACAACTGCGACAACTCTGGACTCATTGAAGATAAAAAAAGTGAACTTAACGTTGTTTTATAGCCTGGTCAATTGTCTTTCAACACAGTGTAGTGATAACTGAAACAAAAACCTTTACGAAGGTGTTTTTGGACAATATTCAATCAGCCTTACTTGTGGCCACTAAAACTGACCCCCAACTAGTCTGCATCACTGATGCAGGAAAAGAACGTGTTTGTTCACCGTGTGCCGAACAGAGCCAGTGTTATGTTGAATGGGAAACATAAAAAAGTACGCTGTTTGAAAAAGAAATTACCTGCTCATTGTGAAAAAGATCTAGCTGCTAATCAACCTTAACTTCACATGGCCCAAAACCTTAATATAACCTTTATAACTTTTATTGAAAAAAACAAAAACAACAACCCAGAATGACAATTGTGCCATTCCCCCCCCATAGGATTAGGGTCAGCCCTTTATTTTAGTCGTAGCGCCAGCCTTATAGGGTTAGGTAAGGTTCAGATTAATTTCGTTAGCGTTGGGGGACAGAGTTAGGTTGAGCCGTTCATATGATATGGTAGTAATAGATAGGACCAAATTATCACTGTTAAATAATAAAAAAAATGGGAAGAGACGTTACAAATAATTTTTGAGCTACTCAAACCATTAGACATTATATTCCGAAAATAACGAGCCATTCTTCTATTTTACTACAAAATTGAAGACATGGGACACTGTTAAAAACCTATAATATAAACAGCCAAACTCACTGTAGATCTAGTCCAAATAGCTTTACATTCGACCTCTTTATGCGACTCACTGCCCCCCCCCCCTCCAAAAAAAACCCAACAACAATACAACAAAACAAACACCCTAGACGATGTAATGACAGAAAACAGAAATATCCGAACTGCATGACAGAAGCAGTGTTGGGTTGTTTAGTTAGTTAGTTTAGTTTGAAGTAGGGCTGTGGTCAGGCTAGTCGCCTATCAGCCTAGGCCCACAGAGGAGTGTGTAGACTTAGCTATCAGCTGTTCGTTGCTTTCATTGCTTGTTCCTTCCTGCTCGTTGTTTTCACACTCTGTTATCTGTAGGTTGGTGCTCATGGCTCATGGATCTGGCAGTTTGAAACCAATCTAGGTTCATGGAGAATTTATATGTGGCTAGCAGACCATGTCAATCCTATTCTTGAAAGCATTCAAGGATGGTGCAGACACCACATTTAAATTCATAAGTGCAGTAGAAAATGTGTACCAAACACAGATTATATATTGTGCATATATAGCAAGCTCAGCGCTTATCGCAGTCTGGCTATGGTTTCCCTTTTCTCTAATAAATCCTATTCTCTAATAAATCCTATACATGTACATTACATTAAACATTTTAGACACAGGAAGGTTAGTATAGCAGCCTATCTTTGGTTGCTCCGATCCATTATCATCCCATAAAAATATAATTGCTAATACTTTTATATTACTACGGATGCATACAGACTTATGACTGTTCATGTGTACCATCTTAATTCAGTGAGTCAAGTGAGTGAAAGTAGTACCTCAGATTAGTAGATCTAGCTTGGATTTTGTGATGTTTAAATAAGTAATTAAACACAAAGGCGAGACAAAATTCAGCGGTTAGATCTTATATTAATTAATTGAAAGGTAGGCTTTGACCTGACCTGGCTCCTAATCTGTTCAAATATTTTCTTCAAAACATAGATCTGGATCTAATCTGTCTAAATCCTTATCAATCTTATTCTCACCAGTGAAAAGAAAGAGGGGTTCCTTTGGAGGCTTTCTTTGTGTACTGATAGACACATTAATGTTGCACCATCCTTTCTGGTCTCATTTTCTAGTATTCCACTTCTTCCAGACTAATCAGACGTTTGTTGGTGATGAATTTACCGTGATAAAGTCTCTCAGGCTGTAAGACGTTTATCCAGAAAGGGACTAGATCTAGATCTAGAGGTTTCACATGCTTGCACTTTTAAGATAATCTCTTTGGATTGAAACACAACGTTAGAATCTAATAAAACATTTTCCATAATAAGAGCAGAGACACGCCCACTCACATGTAAACAAACTTCTTTGCCAAAACAAAAATGGCCGCCAACCAACTCAAAAGTTTCCATGTCACGTGACCTCGTACGGACTGTAGCCTACTCTACTTTAAAAAGATAAAATCCAAATAATTTCTTAAATATTTACAATGCACATCATGATTGTCAACAATTTCACCTTTGCAGTTGTGGTTGTAGCAATACGTTTATTATTTCAGTAAACGCTTACGTCGCTGTAGCCATTTTGCGACTATCGAAAATGAAAATTCAGGAATTAGGTCACACTGTTATTACTGTTGTTGTACTTCCTGTGTCGACACTCGTTGTTGTATTACATGTGTAGCAGAAAGGTTGTGGCGTTGTGTTGTCTACAACTACGAAAACATCTGTTTACTACCTGTGTCCAAAGAATTTGGTCGACTGTGAAAGATGGCTACAGATATGATATTCGATGACTGCATCGGCGATAAACTTGATTTCAACAGCGACATTTTCATGACTGGCGGATTGATGAGTAAGTACAATCACGACAATCTACTGTTCTACAGACTAGAGTCTAGATTTCTAGATCTTCCCTAGCAGTATCACTATCACCATACAGTACAGTCTAAGTCTACGTTTCCAGTATATGGTACACTACAAACAGTTGACTTCTAGATCTAGATCTAGATCTAGATCTAGATATCTAGGTTACCTCATTTAAAATGATAAATTAGAATATTTAAATTTAGGGCCTAAATAAAATAATAAAATATTATTATTATTATTATTGTCACTGTGGTCTGTGGTCCGTGGTCCGTGGTGAATTCAAGTGCTTTTCAGTTTCAAAATAATGAGACTGAAACAACTGACATTTTATTTGGGGTTGGACAATTTATCTGGGGAAGTGGCTATCCTCACCCGGGGTGAGAATAAAAATACGATCGACCTCTCACCCCGGGTGAGACTTGCCAACGTTGGCTATTCTCACTCGCTGTGGAACAAGACGTTTTTCCTAATTTCGGAATAATTTCTATCGGTGTGGATGATCAGGTAGACAAAATACAAAAACAAAGAAAAAAAATGACGTTATAGCACAAAAGTAGTAAAGCTAATTATCTAATTTGGTTGTCTACAAAGATGCATGGCTATTTCACTTTTGGGTATTTTTTAAACTTTCCCTCCCGTCTCACCCCCTTGCCCTTAGCTACCAGTTGTCCATTTTGTACTAAGTATTGATGCGCTGAACACGAATATGAACTTCATTTCCATCACAAATTAAGAGTTTTTAAAAATATTTGATTGTTCTTTTATTAATTGAGATAGAAGACATGTTTTGGGCCAATCGGAGGGTTCCAGGGGAGCTTGCCCTCCTGTTTTAACCCATAATTTGATATTTTACAGTTAGATTTGAAATTTTCCTGAAAATGATTGACTTGCAACAGTTTTAGTGGCTTTATGTGTGATCTGCAGAAAACAGTACAGCAGTTTGACCCCTGAAGCAGTGCATCTGTGTGCGGGAGTGAAAGTAAAACTTTACCCACTTTTCGAATCAGGCCGAACAACGTGGGTCGCCATTTTCATTTTGTTTTGCCCGGAAGTTCTCGCGCTACTCCTTTCTCTCTCTCTCTCTCTCTCTCTCTCTCTCTCTCTCTCTCTCTCTCTCTCTCCCTCTCTCTCTCTCTCTCTCTCTCTCTCTCTCTCTGTCACTCCCCACGGACAAAATTGCACGCTTTCAACACAAGAGCGCTGGAACATTTGTTCACGGTGAACGCTGCATTGGTTGGCCTATCACGGTGAAGGCACACCGAGTGAGAATAGCCAAAAGGCCCACCTGCGCCGGGGTGAGAATAGAGGGGGCCTTAATCTGGCCATTATTCGTACCCTTCCTCTTTCCAGCTTCCATATTAAAATTCTTTTTTAAAATTTAGATCTAGACCTCTCGTTTCTGGTTTGACTCTGATTTTCTTCGAGAAGTCTGATGAGGACGGACAGTTAACTCTTGTACAATCAATTTAACCCCCCCCCCCCCCCCCCCAAACGAAAACGAATTTGCCAACTTATAAATAAGTTTTATCCCTCTTCACCCTGGGTGAGAATAAACAATTACAAATGTAGCCCATATTAACTTGTCCTGCGTCTGTGCCGAGATGCGAGTCTTAGTAACTTCTTGAACGTTCCCGGCTTGCCGGCATGGTTACTCAGCGTATATATATATATGAAATATACAAGATGATCAGTATGTTGCCTCATGTAAAATCAGGCACTTGTCTGAAGTCCGGAAATGAAGAAACAGGCATTTTTTCTACCCGTTGGGCAATTTGTATCCAATTTTTCTTTTTATGGCTCAACGCCTTTTATCATTCAAAAACACATTTTTGTGTGTTAAACACATCGTTGAAAGTCACAAAAAATGTAAATTTTCAGTTTTCAAGCTTTGGAAGTCACCAGTTTTTGGGGGCCATTTTCCCGCTAATTTTATGTCTGACACCAGGTAACCACTCTTTTCAACTGCAAATATCTCAACTTCCATAGAAGATAAGTGGGCTTTTTTTTTCATCAAAAGCAAAATGAGTGAAGAAGCTTTGATAAAAGCTATCAATAGCTTCATATAATTATGCTAAAAAATTGAAGAGTGCCTGATTCCTTCGTTCATATATTTGTGTCACATCGCATTTGAATCAGGTACTCGTAATTTTTTGTGCCTTTGGTCAACGTTTTTAGAAAATCCACACGATAATGTCTTATTAAATGGTTTTATAGAAGTTCTTGAGCCCAAAGCAAAAAAAAAAAAAGACTTAAAAATTGGTCAATGGGTGGAAAAATGTTGGTTTCTTCGATTTGATTATTTTGGCGAGCACTTGATTTCACGACAGTGCCTCACATGTTATTATAGAGCTTGAATAAAAGTGTATCAATATCTGAAAAACTAATGGTCTCATTTGCTTCTTGTATAAAATTGACTTTCTCGTTATAAATGGATAAAAACTAAGTTTTCTTTGTTCTGTTTTTGGTGTGCTACTTGAATTCACGATTTTTGCAAATTTTAGAATCAAGGGTCATTTATACTGCATTGCCCATCATTGGGACATAATATTTATAGAATTGATTTTATTTACTGGTATTCATCACTCTGGCAAGAATTCAGACACAGCCCTCAGGATGTTTACTAGCTGTGCCTTCTCTTTGAAAAAAATTATTTCAGAGGAACTAAAAATCGATCTCTGAGGCACCACTCTTGATACCTTCCATACAGTATCGATACTTTGCATTTTGCCAAGAGGCTAGTCTCCTCTTAAATTGAATTATAATGATAATATATATGAGTGGAAGCTGTCGAAGATCATCACCCATTGTTGAGGAGAAAAGTGGTTGTCCTAGACAGGTGGACATCCTGGACAGTGTCAATATAATAAATGTATTAAAAAACACAAGGAGTAAATGAGAAGTGGTTGTTTGACAGGGGTATGTCTTAGACAGGTGACCATTATGTCTTAGACAGGTGACCATTATGTCTTAGACAGGTGACCATTATGTCTTAGACAGGTGACCATTATGTCTTAGACAGGTGACCATTATGACTTAGACAGGTGACCATTATGTCTTAGACAGGTGACCATTAGACTGCACTTTGTGCATGTGCTTGTGGGAACTGTTGAGTCTGTTGTATATATTGCATGAGTGTACCTGTTTAACAATGTAAACAGAAATTGTCAGAAAGGATTACCTGCAAATGACAAAAAAAAGTATCTTTTAACTATCTTTATCTTATAGTGGGTCATGTAGAATTCATCCCTTTTGTTTTATCAAGTTTCATTGTTCAACCACGACTCTTTTGGATGTGAAAATAACCTGCAATATGATTTATTGAAATGGGGATGAATGGATGAGGGGAAAGCAAATACAAGTATCACCATTGTTAAGATCCACTGGCTTGTGTGTATTGTATTTAACCATAGAGGTTATAATAAATGTGTTCATTGCCGATCCCTGCTGAACTAAAGTTTCCAACAGAATTTTGCTCCGACTGCCTGCTTGTTTTAAATATTTGGAAGTGCTGATTTGGCGGACTCTTTCTGTAATTGTCTGGATTTTGCCCGATTTCAGGACAATTGTCGAAAAGTAGTCTTGACACAAGATGCACTGACAACATGACTAGTAAGTTTGGAGTCCCCATGTGCACTCAGGTGTTTCCATGAGGTCCGGAAAGTGCAGGAATTTTTTTTTCTTAGCCATTGAGGCAGTAAACTTTTGTAAATTCTGTTCAGTTTCGTGGGTGGTTGGTGGTTGTTCTGGTGTGGTTTGCTCCTCCGTTTGTATTTAACCGTCTATCGTCCTGATCTCTCCTCCTTCTTTCCTATCAATCTATCGTCCTGATCTCTCCTCCTTCTTTCCTATCAATCTATCGTCCTGATCTCTCCTCCTTCACTTTTGTGTTTGTTACTCTCTTGTAACACCTCAAATCTTCGGCACCTATGACCTTATTGTGTTGCAAGTGCCGCCAGACTCTTACGATAACAACAAAAGCAGAAACATCTGTTCTGATATATATCTGTGAATCTGTTGATTCTCTTCATTACCTGCACCTTTTTAAAAATAACTTGCTGTAGATGCTATCACTGATGGCCAGTGCGATGTATGCTCCATAAGGGAGAGGAATGGGCAGAGTAACAGTCCTTCTACCTCTATAGTGAGGCAGCGTGGTGGAATCAGGCTCTCGTCAAAATAATCAAAGTGACGAAACTTGCATTTTTCTGCAGGTTTGTGAATTTTTATCAAATGTTTGTTTTTTAGCTCAACACCTTTCATGCCCATTAAGAACTAATTTATGTGTGCATTTTTCTGAAAAACGTTGATTAAAGGCACAAAAAATGTAAATTTTCAGTTGCCACGAACTCTTAAGCTAAGGAAATAACTAATCTTTGGCGGCCATTTTTTTCACTAATTTTACCTTTGAAAACAGGTGACCCCCACCTAATTCTTTGGCAAATATATCGACTTGTATTCAAGATAAATGGATATTTTTTTCACCCAAATAAAGACAAGTGAACAAGCTTTAGGAATATACCAATAATTTTACATGCCCAAAAATTGACAAGAGCCTGATTCCATCACGCTGCCTCACTAATATCTAAAGATGGAGATACAGATTGAGGGGGTGATTCAGTGAAGCTGGAAATAAGAAATAAGAACTTTTTGTCTAGGTTTTCTCTAAGACTTTTCTTTCTCTTTTCCTTTTGTTCTCTCCCTCTGATCTCACTCCACTCCCTCTCACTGTCACTCATCCGCACTATTACAGAATCTCATACCGTAGTCTCTCTCTCTCTCTCTCTCTCTCTCTCTCTCTCTCTCTA